AGGGAGGGAGGGAGGGAGGGGGAGAGTGGGAGAGGGTGGGGTGGTTGGTGGGTTCGAAGTAAAAAAGCGGTAAAAGATCCGCATGTTGCTTTTCGAGATGCAAGATGAGACGTCGAGGCAGAGATGGAGAGAGGCAGCGATGTAATTCATGCATCCATGTTGACTATACTGCTTGCACGGACATGCAACGCAGGCCTCAATGGGACCGCGCCGGATCCACCTGGCATGACAGAACGGAACAGCACCAGATTCTGCGATTGGGCCTTGTCAGAAGCGCAATGGCCATGGGATTTCAAAATATGTAATATATAATGCTTAATATATTATTAAAATATTCTCACGTTATGATATAACGTGAGAATATTCTAAAACTTGCATAACATAATATCGAGAACATTCTATAATATTGTATGATATTACATGATATCGACTGTGGGACTTACTTCGAGGATCTTCGAGGTGTTGCCCCGGCCGCCTGGCCTGTCGCAGAGCTTGGCACTTTCGGCAGCTGTGCCTTCAAAGTTGCGTGCTTCACAAAGCGGAAGGACCGATTGAGCGGCAAATTGCACGAGTTGCCTCCGCAGTGAAAAACCCATTTTGCTCATTCCAGCCAGCACCGACAAGCATCAGGTCCTGCCAAGATGAAGAAGCAGATGAGAGAGCATTAGCCGATTAGCCAACGTGCCTTTAGCCCTGCGAAGTGCTCGGTGCGCTTCTTATGCCGTTACTGCGAGACGTCCCAAGTTCAGGGAACAAACACTGCTGAGCTGCTGCCTTGCCAGATGAAGCGCACAGTGCGTTAGCAGCTACCTGGCAGGGCTGAGCGATTTGTTCCTGTGGCTGCTACGCAGCTGCTACGGCCTCGGCAATCGACGAGGGCTCTCGCCGCCGGCGAATCTGTTCCTCGATGTACCGCACCTGCGAACTTGCCACGTCAGCTGCAGATGCTGCAAGGAGGATTCTTGCCGCATCCAGCCGTCTCCGTCTCGCAGTCGAAGTCGGTATCTGCCAGAAATCCGAAGTACCGCCAGTACTCGGCACTCCCCTTGGCGGCTTGGCTGCTCAGCTACAACAACTACTGCAAGCCTGCTCTTGCGATGATCATTTAGGGCAACTGTGAGCTTCGTTTCTCAGGTTTGATGCACGATCCTGAGTTGGAAACTCCAGCGCGGCCGCTCCGCCGACTGCACAGCACGTGAATTTCCGTGCAGTATCCAACTCAGGAATGCTGCATATGCCACACACAAATGCTGCTCTTCGAGTGCCTGCTGGATGAAGAAGGTTGCTGAGAGATGTCCATTTCAGCTGCAGCCTTTGCCGCATAGGACTCTTGATATTGATGATAAGACTTCCACGAAGTCCCGGCAGCCGTGCTCTAGCCAAAAAAAAGCCTTCTACGGACGCTTTGAACTGGAGGACACTCCTGTGGCCCGCACGGCTGTCAGCGCCTCCGTCGCACGGTCTACCTCACCGGGGCTGTTCCATCCCGACATTCCCCAAACGCCACCATAAGCTGCTTGCTGTACTACGGTATCAATCCTTAGAGTTTTCCAACTGCGAACAGCATCGGCCGAACCCTAAACCCTAAACACTGCAGGCATGTCCAAAAACTAGGTTGTGTTGCAATAACGACATGCGATGACAAGTTCCAGGGTGGCACGAAAATGATGTCGCGCGAAGAGAACCGTTGTGAGTCTAGATGCTGAATTCGGAATAGAGCCAAGAACGAATCCGGACCTCACAGCAACCATCAAACCTGAAACACTCAATGGGAGAAGCGACGGATCATCGCCTGTGGATCTCCTTGGAGACCCAGGATAAGCCTTCCAAGAAGGGAGTTCGCATGCAATTTAAACCCTGGCTCAGGGAAGCACTGAGCCCTGAGACTCCTCGCCACGGGAAGCACCCACTATTACCGAGTGTTCTTTGCCCTGTGCAGCCATCCACGAGCCTCAGTCCTGCGTGAGCATCGCCACCTACCACGGCACCCAGCTGTTGTTCATGAAGCACTGTCAGTCGCACTTCAGACAGTGCGTTGAGGAAGCAGCTACTATGGCCGATAAAACCGCTGCTAGTGGACTGCAAGCCGTCGTGGGACTGAGCGGATTCATTAGGCAGCGGCAGGACAACGTAGAGTTCATGAGACTGAGCGAGCACGTACAGTGTCTCTCAGATGTGAAGCCATAGGTTCCCTCCACTCTTCACAGTTGTCTGAGTGCGCCTCGAGCGTAGCACATTTCGCCAATCCACAGACCAGACCACCTGGCCCATGTGCTTGCAAGCATTCGGTGTCTGCCCTAAAGCCTAAAGCTAAAAAGGATCCGGTGTGCATCGAGCTCAAGCCGGCCGGCTCGGCGCTTGCGCCCAGTGCAGCGCTGTCGCGACATCCAGGATGCGCGTCTGACAATCCCAAAGCACCCGCTTGAGGGGCAGTTTGAATCTCCGACTTCATGTAAGCAGACGGAGACCATGCCATGCACCCGGACCCAACATCGTCCGAAATGGTAGAAATGGCACTTCCTTGTCTGTCTCGAGGCCGTAGGAAGGCAATGGGCAGCCTGGCAAAGACAAGGTCGCTCAGGCCGGCTATTATAAGTCTCCTCATCTCAGCAGCGTTTCAGGCGCGGTTAGTTGTACATTGGGATCTCCTTTGCGGTTCACTTTGCCAGCACACTCCAACTCAAGATGGGAAACGCGAGTTAGAACAACCCGCCCAAGCGCTCCCGCAGCCGGGGCGCCTGAAGCCTCAAGCATGGCCAACCTCAGCTCCCGGAGTGTGGGCGTTTCGGGGGGCCAGGGGGGTGGGCGGAGGATAGTCAAGCCGTGTCCCCAAGCTTTATCTCGGGCAGGGCCCGACCACGCAGGTTGGCTCATTCCTTTGGGGAATGGGATCTTCGGCACCGGAACGATCCAGAAGTGGGTGTTTGACCCTGGCTTCGCTGGCAACCTTCCGCCCAGCTGCTCAGATGCCATCTTTCGGACTTCAATCGCAGACCAGGAGCCGCGGAAGGCTGCCAGCACGAAAAGTCTTAGAAGCCAGGAGCTAACACTGTGGCGGCATGGATCTGCAAACTCGAGGCTTCGATTGCTTAGCTTCGTGCGCAACAGACGTTTCTGAAACATGCCGTAGCTTTCCATTCATCATGCCTCGCAGGTTCACAGACCTTGGCCCTGGCTGGCGCATCCCCACGATGCCCCATCGAGTTCATAACAGAGGATGTACGGACTCGTCAGCGTCGGAGCGTCGGAGTCCGGCTTTGCAAAATAGGAACCGAGATGTCAGGCTGGAATTCGACACGTTTGCGTCCAGATGCTGGCAAACGGCATGGGCCCTGGCGTGCGTTTGCATACTTCGGGCTTCTATTGATTCTACTGAGACTGAGAGTGCCAGAGCAAGGGAGCCATCCATGCCGTCTTCCACGCATCCTCTCCCGCCCCTTGCCCGGCCATCCAACCAACGACCGGGCAAGTCTGCATTTGCTAGGTCCTGCCTGGAGAAAATGGAGTGTGTGGGATGTCCAGCCTTGAAGGTGATGCCGGTTAGAGTGCTGCGTGCGCGAAGAATCGAGCTCAAGCAGCTACAATCCCACACACTCCCACAGAGCAGATCTCTGCACCTCCCTTCCCTGTTGAGGGAATGGTGGGCAGGGTGCTATTATAGTGACAGTCGCCAGTCAGAATCTGTCTGCATCGACCTGGCACAGTCGCCACTCGCATCATCAGACTGCTTTCAACTCCTCTGTTTCCCGGATTGGCCATGAAGTCGCATCTGTGAGCTACTCTTCCCACTGCCCAGCCACTTCTTTTGATCCAGCTTTCGGAGTGCCGGGAAGGGCGAGCGCCTCAAGCGGAGTCGGCAGCAACGAACTCGAAGCAGAGAACAATCTGTACCGCTTGCTGCATGCCAGGGCACGGGGCTCGTGTAACATCCTTTCCCAAGGACTCTTTCTGCAGCATCGCTTCTCCTCCGGAAGTTCTTGAACGCTCCCAGTCTGTGCTATCTGCACCGTGAGAGTTCGGAGAACTCTGAGCTGCAGGCGGCACCCTCTGAGAGCATCCACCAGGAGCGCCTGCAGCCAACAGCTCCCATATGCTCGGAGCACGAAAACAGAATCCTATAATATGAATGATAGTAGTAGCAACAGTTATAATAATCATCATGACAATAGTAGTACTTCCAATAATAATAATACTACTAATAATAATAATAACAATAATAATACTACTAATAATAATAATAACAACAATACCAATGATAATAATACTACAATAATAATATTAATACGAATGATATTGATACCAATAACGATAATGGTAATTAATGTTCTTATTATTGTCACGATAATGCTAGTAACAATCATGACAATAATAAAGCAATGATACTAAAGAATGCTCTGGAACTCCTGGCCTCGGCCCGGCGGAGGGCTGAGGAGCTCTCGGATCTCTCGAAGGAGGGCGCCGGGAAGAACGCCTCATTACTGTTATGTAATACTAATACTTGATACAAATACTAATACGAATAGCATAGTAGCATCAAGACTAGTGCAGCATTATCATACGAGTGTTAGGATAGTAGTACTCTGATAATCGTATTATACCTGATTGTGAATATTCTGACTCTTGTCCGTGTTATCATTAGTTTTACTACTACTACGATTATTACGATAATAGGGTTTTGTGCCGCGGCAAGGACCCCTCTTCCCCGCTCCTTCTCTCGAAGTCCCGTCAGTGCAAGAGAAGGGGCAGAGCCGCCGAGTCCGCCAGGGGTGAGGCTGGCGGCCCCGTTTTCCAGAAACCTGGCTGGAAAATTGGCACACGAAGTAAAGGCCACACTTGCAAGGGGCGATCGGCAAAAGTCACAAATTTCGCTGCCCACTTCAAGCTAAGGAGCATCACTGTGTCGGAATCGAAGGTAAAATTGCTGCCACTCCGCTGACAGTCTGGGTCTGGGACCTCACTTACATGCAGATCCGATTCGGCCCAAGCCTAAGCTCCTAGACATTTGGGGGACGTCCTGTAAATGCAGGGCAGCAGCTTTCTCGTTCGAGAAGTCGATGAATTCCTCGCGAACAGCCAAGAACCCGGGCCCGAGCCGGTCGGAAAGCACGGGGCTTCGGGCGCCTTCGTGCCGCTGCCTTCCCGGAAAGCGGCTTTCTGCGTAGAGGCCTCAGGTCTCCTAAAGACTCACTGTGTTTCAGCGGGATGATGCAGGAGATTGACAGGTGTTGGTGAAAGCGGTAGATGCAATTCAACTTTCAAAGGTCGGTACTTCGAGACGGCAGGCTTCATGGCTAGCAGACATGCTTCATTGCAAAAGCGAACTGGAAGCATACCAGATTCAACAATGCCCCGATGGCCAGCGCAGCCGCGAGGCACTGTGTCCGCTGAGTGGTGGTAGCTTGCGCTCAATTTGCCGCAGCTGGGCTTCCTGAAGTCAGAGGTGAGAGTTATCTAGATCCCTAGGCTTTTAAGGCAGACAATCCCGGCATGCGAACTGCAGCCAAGGATCAATCTTGGCAATGTGACTGTTGGACATGTTCGTGTGTGAGTTCATGTACTTCCTGAGATCGATGATGTCCTTCAGCTTCACATCATTGCCGCCCCGCAGCGAGAGGAGCAACCTCCAAACTTCGCACTGCGCAGATGGTTCTGACACAGAGTCTGGAAATGGCAGGCAACTTAAGTCTCCCAGGATGCCAAGAAGCTTCATGAAGTCGTTGAAGCTGAGTTTCCGGTTGAACTCATATCCATGAAGGTCAGACTGGAAGATGTATTCGGCAAGGTCCACAAGACCTGTTAAGCTCGACACATCGTTTGAACCCCCTCTTTTGGCATAGGAGTCCCCTCCAGGTGTGAGTGCTGGGGGAATGGAAACCGGATCCAAGAACCAGGTGCAGACGGGTGGCCCACCACATCGATGCCAGCCTCTTGCAGGTACTCTGCAGCCTTCTCATTGTCCATGATGGCCAGAAATCGGTCCTGGCTTGCACACCACGCATTCCGCAAGAAAGCCTTGAGGGAGGGTCCTTGGTGATCGTCGCATCCTCCCAATCGAACTGGGCCAGGAGGCTGGAGACCCGCTCCTTGGATGCGAGAGGTCCCAAGGTGATGGGCACAGCTAATATGACCTCTGCCTTTAGGGAGAGCCCTTTGGTGCAGAGGCTCGGTCATGAACTTCTCTTCGACTGCTGCAGTCTCGGTTACGAAGTTCCTCAGACTCCGAAGAGGCAGCCAAGCACATCGAAACTCAGCCACAGACGAGCACCGCAAGGAGAAGGGCGGAAGGGGCACTGTCAACACTTCACATTGCAAGCCGGAAGAGCCCCCTTGCTCTTCCAGAGAAGCTTGCGCCAGCATCTGACGGTCTTGCATGCTACGCACAGCTATCATGCTAATCTCTATTACTTTCCGGTGGGTAACCCGCAGGAGACTTAAATCAGTTGTCAACCCGTTTAGATGAGGCGCTGTCTCACGGCCTCACACATGATGCCGACTAACCTCGGTTGTCTTCAAACTCGTCCTCCAACAGTGCTGTTGGGAAGCCTATGCAAACAGCGGAATGCCGAAGAAGGAAAAGCTTGCTGTCCACATCTCGTCGCATGTTCAGCAGCAGCAACGATGAAATGAAGATGCAGAGCATAAACCTCAGAATCGCCAACTTCACAGCCGTCGTCGCACGACTTCTTGACCCCGAAGCACTCCAAAACAAGCTCAGTGACGCCATCGCCTAAAGCCTTGCTGATGACCTGCTTGTACCTCCGCCTTCAAGCAACGGTCTTGCGCGACCTCACGGTCACCCTGTCGCTCCTAAAGTTCCACCAGACCAGCACGTGGGGGGCCCCCTTGGTGAAACACCTTTCTTCTCCAAGTCGCAAGATTGCCGGGATCTCCGCGAGCTCACCTAGACTCTCAATGTTCAGTCTCGGCTCTAATACCGACCCATAAAACTGGTTCGGGGCCATAGGCTGTCCATCATGCAAAGATGGTCTCTAGCTCACGGGCTCAGTCAGGCTTAGACTTAGGCCAGGCTCATGCCCGTCAGAACAAAATTCAACGATGTGTGCTCAAGGCCACATGCAGCCGAGGGGCTCAGAACCATGGCAGGGGCATCCAGCAGAGTGCTGTGCAAGAGAAGGGTGTACATGGCTTGCCTTATCCATACTGGACTGCAATGGAATTTGCAGCGTGACATCTAGCAACCGATCACAGACTAGTTGAAACAGTCTTTCGCTCATTCATGCCTTCCCTCCGCATTCAATCCATCACGCGTCATGCTGCACTCGTTCATCGTTCTTTCGATCGTTCGGTCGGACACGCACACATCTTATGTTCCGCGCGAGTGTTCTGTGTATGTGCATCTCCGTATACTTGCAAACATGTGCTTACATGCTCATGCCGGGAGAGGCCAGTCCCAGAGGAAAGGCGGGGCCGGCGGCGACCGCACCAGAATCATCCGCGGCATTGTCATCATCATCAGTATCATAAGCACCATGAGCATCATCACATCACAGCCCATCATCAGCATCATCATCATTATTCATGACCGTCGTCATCATGGGCATCTAGTAGGTTGATACAGGTATCTATACCTACATGGTTGAGCAAGTTGTCGGGCTCTCTGCCTTCATGGGTCTCGATCTATAGGAACAGCTCAAGAACCATGTTCCATCCACGCCCTAAGCCGCTCAACGACTCCTCCTTTCGGCCCAGGCTATGGAGCTGAGGAGCGGGACGCTGGAGAAGTACTTGCGGCCGCCTGAAACAGCGCAGCACAGAGCTGGAATTCAATGATGTCAAGATGAATTATGGAGTTTACGGAGTTTACCGGTTACATACAGCGCTGGATTGGCCTTCGCTGTCCTCGGCCATCTGCTTGAGAACTACGCCGAAGACATAGAGCGTGCAGAAAAGCCTTGGTTGGTGGTGGATCCAGGACAAAGGCTCTGCGAGGCTGCCACGTACGTCTGCGAGCTCGCTGGAAGACTCGCGCGGCTTCACGATCGATTACGAAAGCTGTTGATCTCAAGCCCTCCCATACAAGGCATGGGACAGGCAGGCGGTCACCACAACGGATCTCAGGCACGCCACCATGCCCTTGACCACAATCCTCGGGCTGGCTTGACATGGAAACAGGCCGTACCCTAAATCGTCGGCACAGACTTCCTTCGTCTTAGGCGCTCTACTGACTCTAATGCATTTATCTGACGTGTTTTGAAACCGTTTCGATGTAAGCTTGGCAAGGGCTCATAAGCTCCGGCACCAACTGCAGCAGACGCGCGGTCCTCGAGGAATCGCTTTGGTTGCTCTCAAAAAGGGGCAAGAGGAAACCGGGTGGAGATTTGGTAAGTCGTTGCGGTCTTTCGAACTCGTGTTTTTCGGCTTGCTGGTGGAATGTGTTGTGTGCTACCTTCTACATCGGCACACATGGCTGCGGCCCTATTGTACTCCACATGCTGCGCCCGCTGCTCGGAGATGGATGTTTGTGGCTGTAGTGGAGGTAGTTGCGGCAGGCCGGTGCCTACACATGTACACATACGTATACCAATTACAGGCACATGTGCATGCACATGCACATGCATGCATGCATGCATGCATGCATGCATGCGTATGTACCTGCGTGCGTACCTACGAAAATAGGTACAGAGGTGCATACATACCAACATACACACAATCAAGCGCCATCCCAAAACGAAACCTACCGCGGCTACTGTATGCACCTGTAGGCAGATAAGGGAAGATGAAGTTGGACACCCTTCCAACCAGAGACGATGACATATGGTGTCTTCAACAAGCGAAATTCTGCAGTTACAACAAACTCGGATGCACCCTCACGTCTGCCCATATGCAAGTTGAACATCACCTGCAATCAATGACAACCACGCACGAAGCATGAGGAACCCTGTCCAGGCAGAGACAACATGAGACGCCACTTCATTCCCTAATACCGACTGGCTCGGCCTGGCAAGCCGGGACAGCCTCAGAAGACGGATCAAGCCTCAGCTGCAGCCACCCCTGACACTTATACGTAACACAATACACAAGTCGATCCAACATCGTCGTTTCCAAGTAATCGAGGCCGTGCAACGCAGGGAGGAGGTCCCTCCCAAGGCAGTGTCCTCAGATCGAAGGCTTCAGCTCTTGGTGGGAATAGGCTTAGCCTTATCGGTTGATGCAAGTTCAATACAAGTCTTATCGGCGCAGAGGATGCAATGAGAGTGTGTGTTGAATCTCAGAAACTGAGGGAAGGGAAGTTGTTAAGAGCAGTCCTTCAAGACAACCCATGCACACACTGACATAGATGTTGCGTTTGTATGCGTGACCTTGTGCATATGTGCATGTGTGAGCATAATATGAGTATATACATACGTGATCGTATGTGCTTACATACTTGCATACATACGAACATACACACATACATACATACATACATACATACATACATACATACATAGAGACATACATAGAGACATAAATACATAGATACAAAGATACATACATACATGCATAAATAGATACATACATACACGCATACTGACATACACCTTTGGTTCACACACGGACCTTGTCCACGAGCATACCTCCTGAGTCAAAACATGCAACTATACATCGTCACTGAGTGTGTATATATATATATATATGTGTGTGTGTGTATATATGTGTATATATATATATATATATATATATGTATATATATATATATGTGTATATTTATGTATGTATATACATATGTATATATATATATATATATATCATGTACATGTGTGTAAGCATACACAATTTTTAAAGAGAGAAAGGATCCTAAAGAAATGCTTGCATGCTTGTTTATTACATGGATAAACATATCTATCTGTGTATATATATATATAATTATATGTATATATACATAGATATGTATGTATGATTCGTTGGCGCCTTGTTGTCGAATTTGTCATACACATCTACTCCGGAACCCCCGCCACCATCTTCAGGCGAGCAGCCGCATTGCTGTGGCTCAAGGCCTGGGGCAGTTAAGGGGCGACTCAACGATCCACCGACAGCCCAAGACACGAACCATCATCTTGGCAGAAGAAGTGCTCAGAAAGACACCAGTCTGAGCCACTGCAATCGAACTGTTACTCCTGCTAGCAGCTAATAGCAATGGTCGCAGTCCCAAAAATAGCAGCATAGCTTTTTGCGAACGCGTCTGAGCTCGGCACCAAGACAATGGTCAGCACCCATGTCTCAGCTACATTCAAGGACACCAGCACGGTGTCCTCGGTGGAAGCGGTGCGGAAGCGCGCACCCTGACTCTCCTAGAGTTCTACAAGTTCTTGACTTGAGCTTTGCCAACAAAAAGAAAAGCATGGAAAAACATGAAACTAAACTTCGGCCAGAAGTCGAAGACAAACCAGCGATCTCGCAACGCCATGCGCTTCGACTGAAATGCCAGGAAACCTCGGGATCCCAGAACGCTGTGCTGATTCCAGGTTGCCAGGCATTTCGGAATGTCACTGCGGAGCAGTCCAACTGGCAACTTGCTTGCGCCCAGTACGACAGCTGGGGAGGGAGGGACGGAGGGAGGGAGAGCGAGGCCTTGATTCGCCAAGCAGCGTATAAACCACTCGACGAAGAAATAAGTACAGAAGACATGCTCCGGGATCTGGTATTCGAGCGGAGCGTCCACCAGCACAGAAGCAGGGTTGCCGTCAGCATCGACGGCAATCCACACTGCATAGAGCACGATCATGAACAGAGTTGCATGATGGAATAAAGGACTTCGAGCCACTCTCTGTGCACATCCGTCCTGCGTCTGCTGACTGAAAAAGCGACTCAAAACAGAGTGATTACCCCAATCAAATATCCCTGAATAACAATTTCGCAGCGGGCACAGTGGGCTGACCAATCGCTTTCGGCTGGAACAACCGCTGCGTCCTGCCAGTAGAAATCTTCCAAAGTTGCTCCACCCTTCTCCACCAGGCGTGTGATGAGCTTCTTCTTGAGCTGCTCAGATTCCTAAGCCCAAACCCAGCCCGGAACTGAGGGGAAGGCTCTTGACATCTCTTGACACAGACGTTCTTATTCCTTTCATACGCCATCCTTGCTGTCCGGCGTCGGCAGCCATCACGGAGGTTCCAGAGCTCAGGTTCCCGGAACCCACTGCCAGCCCAAAGCGCCTCCACCGCGGAGACCTCGGATGCTAGAAACTCCCAGGTCCCATGAGAACTCCCAGTGTCTGAAGGAACCTTTGCAGAATGCATCTGGTGTTTTGCAAAGTTTTACCACTAGCAGCTTGCTTCCAAGCTGCTTCGGGGACTTGGGAGACATTGCCGAGCTCGGCGGGGTCATCATGGGCGGGGAGACCACCGCTGAAGCCTGCTGCAGTTGGATCATTCAGGGTGGAAGGCTCGGACTGCACAAAAAGCAGGAGGAAGAGGAGTCACTCAATCCCTGTACGAAAATCCAGGTCCGGTGGGGCTGCTAGCCTCCGTGGTGGTGGCGGTGGAGTGTACTAGCAGCAGCCAGCAGCCAGCAGCAGCAGCAGCAGTGGAGGAAGGAGTGCGAACAGTAGGAGGAGGAGCAGGAGGAGGAGGAGGAGAAGCGGTAATGCAAGGTGCTGTCGGTATGGTAGGTTGTATGCGCAGTCAGTACAATGGTTTCCTTGACTGTATTGTCCGCCTTTTACAGTATTGCTTGGGTGAGCGAGGGATCATGATGTTGAGGACGATCACGATGACGATGATGCGATGACATCCATGCCATTAGTAAAACTATACTCAAAAGAGGAATGGAGCGGGTAGGGCGGAGGAGATGCAGGGGTAGGCTGGGCTAGAAAAGATCATGCGGACATAGGAAAAACCTAAGTGATTGGTGACATCGGTGAAGGTGCGGAGGGGCAGGGTGGCAGACGGAAAAGCCTTCTGTTCCACACATTTCCTAGAGTGCTCTCTGAACACCTGCCAAGCAGCAAGGTAAACACCTCTGTTTGGCACAATCCATGATCAAGCTCGGGCTCCTTCTTCCGAATACCCCAAGATTTGCGACACGCGGCCCCGGCCTGCGGTGGGGAGCTCGGAGCCTGCAGGCAGCGCCGGCTCGAGGGAAGTTGAACCCCGTCTCTACGTCCCTAGGCTTCGAATGACAAGTGATTTCACCACCAGAAACGACACTACAGCCCTTAGTGGCATCACAATATTCGTCCTTCATCGGCATCGGAAGCAGCAGTGTGTCAGGAGGTTGCAAGGAAAGCACCTCGTCCTCCCAGGCAAAGGCACAACGAAGCTGACGGCAAGTCTCAAAAGCTTTCAAGGGCTGTGAGCTCAAGAACCCCCTCAAAAGTACTGGTCCGGTTTCGTCTCCGCCATAGCCAGGCAATGCGCATTCATGGGCCAAGGTTGGGAAAGGACGAGTTCGACTCTCGTGTTTGAAATGTCTTGGTGTGAGGTTTCGGAGCATCTTTCTTTTTTGGGACGCAGAGTCACGTCTTGGGACTGCCTCAGCTTAAGCTTGTCCAAACAGCAGCGCGTCCGTGCATGGTGCTTGCATCACATGCGCGCAGAGGCACGGACCCACACACACACAAACACAAAACAGCAGCCGCTGTGTAGCTCTTCAAAAAACTCGTAGGTCTAGGTGGCTCGCGGTCCACGATGTGCAGCTCCGAGCGGGCCTCCCGGCTTCCTTGGAGGGCGAAGTGCTCTGTTCCCTACGGACATGGCTTCCAGTGTGTTGAAGGAATTTGTGGCATTTGCTGCACTTGCCTTGGTGCTGTTATTAATGGCCTAGGAGGAGAGTTGGGAAACGGCCGTGGCCGTGGCTGTGGCTGTTGCTGTGGCTGTTGCTGTTGCTGTTGCTGTTGCTTTAGCTGTTGCTGTTGTCAACTGTTATTGCTTGGTTGGTGGTTGTTGTTGTTGTTGGTGGTAGTGGTGGTGGTGGTGGTGGTGGTGGTGGTGGTGGTGGTGGTGGCGGCGGTGGTGGTGGCTGGTTGCTGCACTGCTGGGGTTGACAATTTCTCTGGAAACGTTCGGAGGCGTGATCTTTCTTGGGCCCGGTTTCTCCGTAATCTTTGGCGCCATGGCTCGAGCCGTGGAGGTTCAGCATCAGCCGGGAGAACGCCTGCACGGCGTGGTGCGTTTTAGGAGACATCTTTCCAGATAAAAGCTATGGCTGTGCGAGAGGGCCAGGCGGCCCAAACACTGATAATGCATCTACGAAGCCTAGCTCTTGAACCTGTGAAAAGTGGAATCCCATGCCGCTTGCTCCATCATCTTCTTGCAGAAAAAACTTTCCCAGCTGGTCGACACCAAAGCCCGACAAAAGACCATAGCATCTCGGCCTCGACTAGGTCGATGTCATCACCCTCCAGCAGCGCGCGGACAAGCACACCTTTCCGGACAACCTGCCGCAGGTAGCAGGAAGCAGATCGTGATTAAAGCCCTCTTGCTTGCAACCTGAGCCCGTCTCAGAACTCAACTACACTTAACCCCAGTATCCTAGAGCTGAAAACCGAAACGCTCCAACCTAGACTAGACACCGAACTCTTTATCAAACGAAATATGGCCGCTGAGATCCTCTCTATTGACAGATGTCTGCCATCCACTGCCTACCATGTTTCATCTTGTATGAAGAACATACACAACACAATTGATAAGCACGGACTCGAGACTCGAAACTGTATCCGTGATGGGTATTTGGCAACGGGAGCAAGAGCCCTTTTGTTCAAATTTATTCAAACGTAGTTGGATGGTGACGCCTCCTGGAACAGCAGGAACAAACCTGCGAGACATCAGCGACATGCAGCAAAGTCGAAGGCTTCACTCCGTCTTGGAGCTCAGCCGGATGCGATCCTGGGGATCCCGTTTCGGGAGCGGCCCTGGCACCCTTCCCTGCTTCCATGCTCCTTCTGCAGACCTGGTCTCTCGCACCTTCCTAGCGGTGGTGACGGCTAACTGCTCGCGCAGGCCGTCCCACACTCCGCCTGTGGCAAGGATGACGAACTCTGTCGTTGGCTTCACTTTGATGACAGTAACATCAGACATGCTGCTGAGACCATGGATCTTCTTTCCGGTCTTATCGACCAGCCCAGCTCCTTCAACCGCTGATGTTCCAGGTCGTTTTTATCGGGGTTGTGATCTCGTGTTGTAGTGCTCACCTTCCCGTTTTCACAAAGAACTGCTCTGCAGTCCCCTAAGTTGATAATAGCGAGCTCGTCGGCCTGGAGCAGGGCAACACACGTGACAGCGCCCGATGAAGTGCCCACTGTAAACTGCTTGGCTTCCTCAGCCAGTTCGTTCTGCATCAGCTCGTCCACAGCCGTGAAGGCTTGATTGCAGTCTTGTTGGAGGTAATGATCCAACTGCTCCGTCAGGAAGTGCTTGGCCTTCTGTCCTCCGTGACCATGTAAGACAGCGAGGCAGGCATTTTTGCGACATCGTCATGGATTAGCACGGCGTCTTCCATACGTTGCCGGCCATTCTTCGCGAGGGCATACCCGCAAACCCATGCTTGAGAGTTTTCACAGACCCACCCTGGCTTCCAGACTATGCCTCGTAGTCGGGAAGCCAGGGTGGATCTTGCTCTCTGGCTCCAGCCCATAGCTCACCCGCGCAAGCCTTCACAACTATCTACTATATGCCATTGAAGCAAACATGTTGGCACATGCTCAGACGCTGCCCCGCCCAAGCGGCGAGCCCTCTTTGTGCAAACTCTCCCATTGACTTTGTATTTCAATGTATCTTGAGCCACAAACAGGGCAAAGCGTCGTCAAACACTGTAGCGACATGAATGCATACAAGTGCATAGTCCAGGCCGTATTTCCGCCTTGGCCAAAGAAGGTTGAAGGCACATGAATCAAGATCAAAAGTGAGGCTTGTGTATCAGCTTGCTCGTGAGGTTCCCATCCCATCCTTTTTCAAATCGAACGCCTTCAAATGGGCACTTACACATTG